TTCATCTAACATCATTTCTCAGTGCGGTCAGTGAAGCTTGCACAGAGATCAGAGGTACAGATTTCAGGCAGTACTAAGACTGTGAGCTGTTCTTGTTTAGCCACACTGCCCAAATATCCATAAAAAAATGAGCCCATGCTTGCTCTGCTCCATTTTCCACCTTTCTGCTTTCCCTCCCTCTGACTTTGTGCTTCTCCAACACTCTTACTGCATTTCTTAGTTTTCACTTTGCAGATTAACTTCTATACAACCTCTGTCACTCACCGATATACTCAGTTAACGAAGGTATGTAAGACTCACCACTGAGCTTGAATGAAATAAAATAAATAAAAGAGCTTGGATTGGAGACACTACCACCTTCCCTCCGCTATGCCAAGCTACCTACAAACCGACTGAGTTTCCCAGAACATACCCTTGGTTCATAATTGAAAAGTTAATAGGGGGCTACCAATTTGAGTTCTGTTTGCTTTATTCAAAGCAAAACAAAATATTGCAGGATCTATGTACGCTGAGGGGCCTGACTCTTTCATAAACCTGAATATGCAGAAACCTGAGTCACACAGGCCTAATTCTGCGCATCTCATACAGGGATTCTCACCAAAGACACTGCTATGAACTGGAGACAACCTGTCCAAGTAAGAATTTACATATAGCATACTTTAATTTCTAGGATTAAGGTTTATTTTTTGTTGGTCACCAGTGAGATAAAGAACTTACCTTAAAAATCCAAAAGCTGAGCAAAGTTCCATGATTTCAGACATCTTTTTTAGTGCTTTGGCCAGCCTATAAATCAGATCCTCAAAGAATTATCCTTCCTCAGATTTAAAGCATTTCTGGAAGCCACTTGAATGGAAGCAATCTCATACCCTTATCCTCTGACATAGCAATACCCCTAAAATTGCATGTGATTTTAAAAGTTAGGTTTGTAACGTTTAAATTCGATGATTAAATAAAGGATAAGGAAGGGAAATTCTTCTTAAGCACTTACCTAATTAACCCTCAGAAAGACAAAGGTTTTGCAGAGCTATCTAAACTGGTAAAACTACCAGGCAAGCCTCCTCTATGGAGATGAAACCCTCATCTGCACGTGGAGTTATCAACCACCTTTCCAAACCACGTAAAACACATCAGGAAAGCATTTTTCCTTCAGAACTTTCTGGGTGGTTCCGAGTGCTGTTGTACAGGGCTCTCTGTAGCGCAGCCATGGCTGTGCCAGCACTGGAGAGGACCTTCTTCTCCCCAGGTGTCGCTATGCCATAAAACTTTGCATGGGGGTCTTGCTCTAATGATTTTTCTATCACTGTATTTTTTTTAAAGCTAGCTTCAAGTTTTCAGCTCGCTAATATGTCGTTTTAACCGTTTATTTCCACCTAACACTCATCCCAGCCTTTGGCGGCTTCCTCGTTTTTCAGCCAAGCCACTCAAGCAGCCGTGGAAGGACCCTGCAAAGCCCGTTTTCTAGTCACCACCCCGAGGTTACAAGGCAGACTGCTCCTCGCTGCTGGGCTTTTAATCAGCAGAAGTCAATCTGCGAACTTGCAACACTTCTAAATCAGTTTCACCCTCTGCACTTCCGAAAGCACTTGTGGTGAAGAGAGAGGCCGCCACGGGAAACCCAATCTGGTCTGGAGAGGAAGCCACCAGCACCACACCGCAAACTGGCTTGAGCTGGAGACGAATGACGCATCGAGTGAGCTCCGGCTCCGAAAAGCTTCACGTTCACAAAGAAGTCCGGCTGCATTCTGCTGATGGTTCTTGCCCTTCCTGTCCACACGTAAATGCTGGTTAAAGTTATCTCCAAAGGGGCCAATTTGGTGAAAAACAGGAAGAACCTGGGACACCGTAAGAAACCTCACCTTTGGCTGTCCTATCATTTTGAGCAGAGCAGCAGCTCTGGTAGTTACAAAGCCTGACAGAAAACAACAAGTTATTTTACTAACAAAATATATGCCCTCCTTCAAGTTTTTCGCCAATTTCAACTTGTATGTTACTAATATAAAAGCAGTTGAGGTTTCTCACAAAGCTATAAATAGTACGCTCTGGCTAAGCACAGTCAGTACTTTAAAATTTTTCAAATTATTCTTTTTCTTAGATGCGATCCAACATAAACTTTAGGCAAAGTTCTGAACCGAAGCAAAAACACTAATAATTGTTACAAGCTGCATAAAAAAAAACCCCAAACCGTGGCTACAGTGTGCAAATACCTTCTAGAAAGAAGAACTACCAGGCAGAAGATAGAAAGGGACTAAAATAAAAGAAATCATGATTTATGATAAATATATAACTTATGTTCAGACAGCATCACTTCATCAGATATTGATGTTAAAATGACCTACCACATCTATCAATTTTAACAACAATATTTCGTTCACATATAAATCTTTAACGAATGACTCAGATTCCAACTAGGACTCATAACAAAACATAGAACTGGAACTCCTCTTGCAGTCTTTAACGTACAGAGCACATCCTAATTTTCTTAAATCAAACAGTCTCAAAGTCACTGTTGCAGCAGTGTCTATACAAGTAGCGTGATAATGAATGTATGGCATAGAGCACGATCAAATGAGGCACCTAACGGTGAAAACAGAATTGAAGGGTTATGATTTTTAGAAAAAGCACAGGTGACTGCTGAGTCTGCAAATTATACAAGCTACCTGGTAGTTTCATAACATTAAATAACTGTAACCCAATTTAGACTTCACTTTCTCAGTATATTACTAGAGTTACTTCACAAATAACACGACTAAAAACCAAGCTACCAAGCAGGTGGCAAATACTCTACTCTTGTCCATCCATTTATGTTCAGGAGATCCCAGACTTCCACACAATTATTTCCGATTTAAACCATTAAAAGCTGCAGTCCCTGTATTGCTGACACAACCTGCTCATCAAAGTTGCACTCACACTACTGACCACCGGGTTTATGCAGCTATTAAAAAATTGTGATATTCCCCACAAAGCGGTGGCAATATTACCAGACCCACGCCACATTCCTTCACATCCGGGTGAAACATTTGGTTCACCAAAGAGGTGACCAAACAGGACTGGACATAAGGTCATGAGGGCTCGGAAACGCACGCTTGGTCCTCAGGCAGAAGGGATGGCCAAACGCGTGGAAGGCTGCATGCAGGAAGGTGAGACACCTCCAGGCAAGAGGTGCCACAGCCTTTGGCTAAAGCCCTGGAAACCCACGGGTTCTTGGGTGAGATACCTCCACGCTTGCAGCAAGCAGCCTGCCGTCCATGCAAAGTCCACCTCTCATTAATCAGAGGATAATGAGGCTAGCAAACAGGCAGCTCCGAATTTCCCAAGGCCTGCCCCTGGGTTCAGCGTGACAAGTTGTCTTCCTCTCTATTTATTAAATCCACTTAGTAAATTGAAACAATTCGGAATCCTTATTGCAGTTTGCAAAACCAACCAACAAATCCAAACCACATATATACAAAAACCAAAGGCATTTTACTTGAACTCTAAAATTAATTAACCCATCAGCCTCTTGTTCATTTAAGATGGATGCACTCCATTCTGTGCAAGTAACAGTGTTAAATCGGGACCTCCTATGGAAGAGCATTAAAAAAGAAAAGTGGTCCTCAACAGCAACTTCAGCCAGATGAGAACTTTTTCTCCATCTCATGGAAGGAATCTGGGGAGAGAGGATGATGAAGTCAATCCAAACTTCACCAAAAAAAACCCTTCAGGTATTTAAAATGCCGAGAGCAAACTTAAGGCCTGTAACTCATTGGTAGACACAATGACACAAGGATGGTTTTGGTGTACATGGATGGCTGGAAAAGGATAAAGCAAAGCTCTGGCGCTGTCCAAATTCAGAGGGGGAAAGGCACTGCAAAGATAAAATAGAGAAAATACTTAGGGAATTAAGCTAGAAGAGATAAACAAGGTCCTTTGTAAGTATCTAGTAACCTAAGCAATCTCTATTAGCATCTAAACAACACTCCATCTCGTGAAAATTGAACTAGGTTTTAAAAGGAGTAAGAACACCTTGAAGTATGCTGTGGGGATATTTGTTATAAATACCTGCTGAATATTCTTTCTGGGGGATATAACCTCAGGAAAAGGCACATTCAATTATTGTGTACTGCGCCTGGGCGTACTCAGGTAGAAGATCTAACTTCTTGAATTAAAGCTTCATAGTTAATTACAGGGGAGGGCCACTTCCCATCCCAGCTGCCTCCATTTCCCAGAGGATCACAGCAGACACCCAGTGAGGCCAAACCTCCCTGCTCAAATGGAAGGCGATCCCCCTCCCTCCCCCAAACAGCAATATTCAGCAAGACCTAAAACGTGCCCTTTTTCAAGTTACAGGCGACCATTCCTGCAACTTGGAGTAGGACAGTCTTCCGAGCAGCCACCCTGCCCGGGGCCAGCATCCACGCAGCGAGGTACCAGTGTCAGACCCGGACATCTCAGAAAGGAGACACGGAAACTACATCATTTCAACTGAAACTTGGTGGAACCTGGAAAGAAGCAAACCTGAAGTCACCACTTACACAACCACGCCGAAATACACCGCAGCAGATGCCGGTGTGCGGGGAGGGGAGCCCACCAACTGAGTACAAGACGAGATACTCCCTTCCTGCGCTGGGGTGGGGGGGGGACACACCACGGGCTCGGTTCGGGAGGCACAGAGCACGACCGGCCGCCCACCGGTAGCGCTTCCAACCCCGCAGCTGCCCGGTTACGCCAAATTAGACACGGAACGGATAGAAATAAAACAAACCCGCAGCCCACCGAGCCCACGCGGCCTCCCCCGGGAGCGGCTGGGGGCGCCGAGCCCCGCGGGGGGTGTCAGCCGTCCCGGGGGTTCCCGGTGCGGGCTCCGCTCCGGCGGCTCCCGCCGTCGCCAGCCCCGCCAGCCCCGAGGAACGGCAGGGGCCGGCCCGGGGAACAGCGCGGCTCCTCAGCCCCAAGAGCCGCCATCGAACCTTCCCTTCCCTGAGGACCGGCGCGGGGAAGGCGGCCCGGCGGCCGGTACTCACCCCGCCCGGCAGAGCCGAGGGATCCGGGGCGGGCGGCGGCGGCCGGGGCTCCGAGCCCGCCCGGGGAGCGCCCTGCTCCCCTCTCCCGGGCACCGCCACCGGGACCCGCCGCCGCTCGCCCCGCGCTCCTCCGCCCGGCGGACGGCGCCGTTCCCTGC